GTGCTGTCCTGAATGTTAACATCTTACTGAAAATAACAGTAATTTAAATCTCCTCAAATATATTCCCAGAGCCTTCTTTGGCAATGAACTCAAACATAAATTCTTGAGAAACTGGACTCACCAATTGCCAGACTCCAAATTTAAGATGAAAGTTGTTACCCACCCCCCGACCCCGAAATTTGCTATAGTCACATTGGTCAATAGTGACCTAAAGGCCCATCCCACCAACCCATCAGATCTATGTAGCATTTTTAGGATTCCAGAGTGAACTGACCTTAATTGAAATCTGTAATTCATTCAGGATTTTAGGTTTAAGTTCAACTGCTCAAGGGCCTTTATCTCTCAAAAAAATTTAACCCCTAATGTCAAAGTTTTGGAAGAACATCATATTGTACTTTTTGGTTACCTTCCCTTTAGAGGAAGAATTGTTTCATTTATTTTTATTTTTGTGTTTAAAGCAGAACTGTACTTAAAAGGCTCATTCTAAAAAGAGATCGCCTCAGAGTCTGGTTTTGACTAGTGGGAATTTTCCTTCAGCTAAACCAACTGTTAGCTGGGCTTGAACGTCTGCCAATACGGGGGCCACCGCTGCAGCACTTTTAACTTAAAAGTGGCTAATAAAGTCATGAAGGGAAACCATAAAAGAGAATTACAAACCAAATCATCAAAAAGGAAAAAAATTATTTTACTATGATGAGCTTCACCCTCCAGGGACCAGAATAGAAAATTTGCAGACGTAAGCTTAAATTAGCACTTAAGGAATTTAAAAGTTGTTTCCCTTTAGTAAGCGTAACTGACAAGTCTCTCCTAATCAGTTGTTTCTAATATTGCAGAAAAACTAAGTAGAGTTGGGTAAAAGAAAAATCCAAGATCACCTCAATTACTTAAAATACAAGAAGAATTTGAAAAATTACCTTCCATTTCTGGTGCATTAATTTTGAAAGCTGTTGGGACTTCTTTTTTTTTAATGTATTTTTTATTTTATTTTATTTTATTTTTTAGATTTATTTATTTATTTATACAAGCACTGGGTACAGTCAGAAGCGCGGGAGGGTGAGAGAATTCACCAGAGCGGGGAGCAGAGCAGGCAGAAGGACCAAAGCACACTGATGAGGGGAGCAGCGGGCAGCAGGAGAGGTCTGCCTGCCATGTGAGACCCTCCTCCTCCGGTGGCCGGGGAGGAGCCGGGGATGGAACTGGCGCTGCAGAGGCTGCGGGCAGCTTCGCAACCCAGTCAGTGCTCAACCGCTGCTCCACCGGGGAGGCCCTGTTGGGACTTTTGAGGTCACATTGCTTTCACATTGCTTTATTTTGTAAATGGACTAATTAACATATTGAAAATGTGGTTGTGTGGGTGTGTAATCCTACCAGGTGTGTAAATCTCTTGATTTGAAGGCAAGAATCATTTTATCTCACAAAGAAAGAGATTTTAAAACAGAACTAAAATTGGTTATGAAATTATGAATGTATTTGGTCTTCTGTTGAAAAGTATGTACTAATGGTTAAATGTTACAGCATCTCTATTTTTAAATACTTTGTACATGGCTACAATCCAGAGATCTTTTTTTTTCCCCTGTGGTACTCTTTACTTATTTATTTTTGGAAAGTTTGGTCAAATCTGTTCCATCTTTGACCTTTTGATTCTTTTCTTTTCTTTTTAGGGAAATAACTATGTATACCTTTCCCAGTATTAAACATATACAAGTACTCACATGCGTGATAAACAATTTCCAGACTTGCTTTTCCGACAAATAAATCAGTGCTAGTAGATCTTTAAAATGTCAAACTTCTCACTCAGCATGAGATCTGTCATAGTCCATGTGTTTCTTGACGGTAGCACAGGTCTTACTGATCGGCATGGTTCCCAAGTGTCAGAATAGTGAAATGTACAAGATACCTATTTAGACCTATCCTGTCCCTGCAATTATTGCAGCTTTTTTTTTTTTTTCATCCTTTGACTTCTTGGAAGATTTACTCCCAGGCTTTTGGCCTCCCAGGGAGGTCAAAGAACCTAGTATGAGTTTTCTTTTCCTCCACACTTTGAATATCAAGGTACCACGAACCCATTTGCAAGAGCTCTTGGAAAAAAGCAGGCAGCTGCTCTATGCTATCACTACTCATGGGCAAGTTCAAAGGGTCAATCCAGAATAATTTTTTTAAAAGATTTATTTATGCATACAAGAACTGGGGTATAGGCCAGAGGTGCGGGGGGTGAGAAGATTCACCAGAGACAGAGTGGGGAACAGAGCAGGCAGACTGACTGAAAATACACTGCCGAGGGGAGCAGCGGGCAACACAGGAGAGGCCTGCTGCACCATGTGGGTCACCTCTGGGATCGAACTGGGATCGATCTTGTGTTGCAGAGGCTGCAGATACCTTCACAGTGCTGTGCTTAACACCTTGCGCCACCAGGGAGCCCCCCAGAATAGATTATTACTTCTAAAAACGTGACTTCTTATTACAATGATAACTTTTCAAAATATTCCTTATAGACTAATAGCATGAGGAACTAGTTTTAACATCTGAAGTACTGAGATTCAAATCACTCCACTCACTTGTTCTATAAATGTGGCTTAAGTGTGTACCTCTTCAAACCTTAATGTTTTCATCTATAAAGTAGGCAGTGATATTCTTAAGACTATAGACTCATGTAACTCATAGAACAAATGTGTTTTAGAAGAAAGGATCAAGTATAAGTAATCAATTTTGTGGCAATAAGTAGTTTTCTCCTACTACTCTATTATGAATAAAAAGGTAAGGAATATGCTGGCAATTTCATAAAGCATTGGAACACCAACAGCGATGTGTTGCCTGGCAATGTGCTGTCTGTCCTACACAAATCACTCAAAACACTGTATAAATAGCCCTGCCCAGTGAGTGGGTCCATGGGCCAAGGACACATCTAGCATTTCTATTTGGCAGTTCCATTTCAATCTAAGGCTTGCCTACAATATAATGAATTTCCAAACTTCAGCATGCCAGTGTCAGGAAGTGATCTAGTTGTTTAGTCCTTAGCCTCCATGAATTTGACAGTTCTGTATATGCCCGTGTATATGTTGCATGTGAATTACTCATTGACATTTACCATGTGGCACATCATGCTTATTAAGAATAGTAACTTGGCCAGAGCAGCAGACACCACATCCAACATACATGGACTCTGAAACTGAGGGAAAAAAACCCTCTTCTACCATCAACTCTTAAGTCCTTATCTGGAACAGGAGGAGGGCCCAGGTAGGAAATTATTCAGATGTGATGACCACCCAGGTAGTTTTCTGGTAGCTTATTTATTTATAGAATTTTTACAACAACAGAGATAAAGAAATAAAATTTCAATCAATCTGCCAAGTAGGTTCTCACGGAAGAGATGAGATAGTCCAGCTTTTCAGCAGGCTCAGAGATTCCCTGCGGGTAGACTCCCATCTCTCCACTGCCAGCCTGACCACTGGTCCACACTGCAGCTCATGCTTCCAGCATCTCTGAGGCTCACCGGCTAGAACTCAGATTCAACCAGTCCAGCAACTGGCTCACTGTTTACCTTCCATCCTGCTCTCCTAGCCCCATTTCTGCTGCTTGTCATTGTCTTCTAAAGTGATTACCTTCAGATTCACCTTGGCCTCTTCACTTCCTTTCTGCCATCAATCCACTGACGTGTTTCCTTGTCATTAGCATTTGCTGTGCCTTCCATTCGCTTCCTTTCTGTTCATCAGCCCAGGTCCCCACATCCAATACATTCGGACAATAGTTGCTTTGCACTTTTCTCCAACAAGAGCCCCCCTCTCCCTCCCAAACATCCTTGCCACTAAACTTTTTGACTCCCTGAGGGCATGGGATGCCTTTCTTCTCCAGAACTGGCTCTTTTAATCTTAAAAAATGTTCTCATTAAGATCCCCTGTCTCGGAAGATCCATCAAGCCCCATTTTCCACCCTTCCCAAGCCCACTCTTTCATTCAAGTCTCTTGAGAAACCATTTTATCTCAGCCTTTGTGTCTTCAATAATTTCCCTCAACTTCCCGGTCTCAAATGCCCAGATCTAAGCCTCTTACTCAAATTCCTGCCGATCTCATTAAGATATTTTGGAAACGACTTACCTCTTCTGTCTCTACCATTCATTTCTACTTAACCCCAGCGCCACCCAGTTTAATGCTTAATTTCTCTGCTTCAGTCAGTCACCCGTTTCCCTGATCCACCGAGTATTATGAAAGGGCATTTGGTTCTCTGCGGCTCCCTTTTCTACGCATTCTCTCCTCCCTCCTACGAACAGAGGACATAGAAAAGATAATACCCATGAATTGGAACTGAAATTTGAATTCCTGCAGATTTCAATCTTCACCATCTACTGCTGCTGAAAGCAAACGATAAATGCCAACATTCCTAATTTTGCCAGTCTTCATCACAATTACACAAGCTCACGATGATTTAGTACCAGGTCATTTATCGTGCCCAAAGTCCCTTTGAGAAAGACTTAAATAAAATTTCGAGTTGCTCTTTGCAGGTGGGTTGGAGTTGGGAGAGGGGAGGATTTTTGGATTTGAACTTTAACTCTCCATCACTTAAAAATGCATAGACCCTGGGGGGTTTTCGGGGTGCAGAGGTGATGCTCAATGACTTTATCTCGCCAGGTGGTGGGGTACTCTTTCACATTCTTGCCTTTGGGAGAAACTGGAGCAAACTGGTCGACCCCTGCGCGGGCGGGGGTAGGGTTGGGCATGGCTTCTGAAAGCCCTGGCTTGAATTGGCATGGCGAAACCCAGATCGTCCTTGAGATTCGACTGCAACTGCAAGCCCTGGAGTTCCTTAGGCGCCTGGCGCCGACGGCCTGCGGGGGCGCGGACGCGAGAGGGGTGCAGCCTCCCGCTCGCAGCCCGCGGTCCCGCCGCTAGGAGGCATCGCGAGCGCGCCAGGTCCCCGCCCGCTGCCAGAAGAGGATCCCCTCGGCCAGCCCCCGAGCTGGCCGGGGGTGCAAGCCGGGAGAAGACCGCAGGAGACGCGCGGCGGAGCGCCCAGGGCTGTCACCGCGCGCTCGCCGAGCGCACCGACCCGGGACGCGGCATCTGGGGACCGCCAGCGCTCACCCGCAATTTCCCCTGTCGGGGTCCTCAGCTCGCGCTGCCCATTGAGCACCCGCCGGGGAGGTAGGCGATGTCCGCCGCGGTCCGTCGCGGTCCTCCGAGCGGCCGGGCTCAGCGGCTCGCGGGGCCCCTCTGGTGCTTGGCGGCGCTGGGGATGCTGTGGTCCCCCGCTTCTCGGGCTTTCAACTTGGACGTGGACAAGCTCACGGTGTACAGCGGCCCGGAGGGCAGCTACTTCGGCTACGCAGTGGACTTCCACATACCTGCAGCTCGCACGTAAGTCGCCCAAATCGCGTGCGCGGGCGAACCCCGCCGCAAGTGGGGTCCCTGCCTCTCTGCAGGGAGACCCACGCCTGTCCAGGCAGCCTGAGGAAGGCGATTCCTGAGAATCCGGCCCGCCTTCCACTTGGGGTTCCATCTCGCCCCAGCTCCCCGCCAGCAACCTCTTCTCTCCCTTTCCATGGTAGATGTGGATGTGCCTTATGAACTATGAGCTGGAGAACTTGCGCAGAACTCAACAAGTCCTGGGGAGAGCCCAGCACGAAGACTCCAGCATCATACAAAAGGGGGGCACGGGACCCGGACAGACCCACACCAGTTCAAGCAACGGGCACAACACTGTCTGTTTAGACATAGCCTGTAACAATTAAGTGTCTGGCGCAAGGTCTGGCTGCTACAAGCAGCTGGGCTCTGTCCTTTACCATTTCACCCCCCTCTCTGCCCATGTCACACTGTCTACATAGCTCCACCTAGAGAAAACTCAGGAGTATTTGCTTCCAGGTTTCAGACACCCGTAGGTCTCCAAGAGGAAATCAAGTATGACAGTCGGTCTCCATCATAAAGACGTTTCTGCAGGGATCCCCACTCTGTAGTCTCAGTTGGGTACACTGCAGAGGCTGCATCGCGTGCGCACACTTTTAGAATTTCCAGGGAGTGATTTTGTCCAAACCTTTTGCAGAGCGAGTGTCTTGGTGGGGGCGCCCAAAGCCAATACCAGCCAGCCAGACATCGTGGAAGGGGGAGCCGTGTATTACTGTCCTTGGCCCGCCGAGGGGTCTGCGCAGTGCAAGCAGATACCGTTTGACACCACCAGTAAGTGATATTTGTCATTGTGAACTGTGGGCCCTGGTTTTCAAAGAGCCACAGCCATCCCGGAGTCAACATCACATTCTTTGTAGTCAGTTGGCCTGTCTGATGGGTCTGTGTTGTGGGCTGTGTAGCTCCTTAGAGAAATCAGTCTGTTTTAAGCCTGAGTGAAGGCGAGGGAAATGCTGCGTAAATCCCAGAGAGGGAATATTTGACCTTGAATATTTGGATGCATCCTGGTAACTTCTGTTTCCTTACTGTTCCAAGATGAGCATTTTCAGGGTGAAAGGATGTTTTGGAGAGATACAAATGTTCTGCCCTAACCTTGATTCTGGAGAGAAGTTGGTGGCTTCCCAAGGCCAGATCTGGGGAAAGACAAATCCTTAGCTTTTCCAGTGCCCAGACTCAGGAGGCAAGACTGAGCTGCCAGAGACCCCGAAATGGCTCCATGTTGCTCTTTAATTCCTTACAGAAAGAAAGAATTTTCTTTCAAAATATTGGACATTGGATGCAAACTAGTGCAGGCAGAGTGTGGATGGATTACATTCATTTCCAAAATCCCTAGACAGATGTTTCTTATTTAATTAAAGGGAAAATACATTTTAAACAATTCAGGCTGGTTATGTTTCCTCTGGTGTTTTCTCTTTGGGCCTCAGAAAATAATTTAAACGTAATGCTTTTGAAAACATTAACACTGGAAGTTTTAATTTGTACCGCCAAAATTTTATGGATTCAAAAGGTATATAATATCAGAAAGCAACTATCTCTTTTAAGAAATTGTGAACATGTCTACTCAGATGATGTTCTTTGATGTCATTCAAAACACCTTTTGCACTATGCAACTATTTTATGACATTCTCCATTATGTTACAATAGTATGCATTCAGAATTTATATAGAAAATCCATTTTCACAGAAATTTGATGAAATTGAATGGGTGATATTTCCTGTTATTTGTACTGAATTGTATTTTTTTTTTTAATTTTAAAGGAGAGAAAAAAAGAACATTATGGGTATGGAAATCATTTCAAAGAAAAAAAAATCCCATGCAAGCATTACCTTGAATTATGATCAAATTAGGAAGCATTTTATAAAAACATTTTAAAATTATGTTTTTCACATTTTAAAATTATGTTTATCATACAGTCACAATAACTTACCAATATATTAAATAAATCAATTATTTCATGCAAATTTTATCAGCTTTTACTTTTAACAACTAGAAACTGGAAAAAATATACCTCTTAATGTTAAGTTGTAAAATAAACCTCTCAATTAGTTGTTTAATCAGAACCTTTTAAAATCAATTTTATTGATTTGCCATTTGTTTGCATAACCATATAATTTGAGGAGTCCAACTTCACACCTCAAAATGGGCACATGCTTCCCTCCCCCTCCCCCAAAACCCCAGTGCCAGTACACACCACGTGACCCCCCGACTCCCGCCTTCCCTTGGTAACCACTCTATCTTTCATAGACTCTCAGTTAGTTTTAAGTGTTGCCAATTTGTTTTCTCTGGTTATTAATATTCCACAAATAAGTGAAAGTAGCCTGTGATTGTCTTTAACTTTCTGACTTACTTAGCATAACCATCTAAAGAGCCATCCATTTTGTCCCAAAAGGCACTTGTAATCTTTCTTGATAGCTCAATAGTCATTCCATTGAGTATATTTCTATAATTCTTTATTGAGTCATCTGTCAGTGGGCATTTAGGTTGATTCCCTGTTTTGGCTATTGAGAATAGTGCTGCTATGAACACAGGGGTACATAAATCTTTCTGTGTTAGTGTTTTCATATTCTTTGGGTAAATACCTAATGGTATTGCTGGTTACTTTTTCCCATTTTTAGTTTCTTAAGGAATCTCTAAATCCTTTTCACCAATTTACATTCCCATCAACAGTGAATGAGTGTTCCCTCTCTCTACATCCTTACCAGCCAACATTTGTTGTTTTCATTTTTTGATATGGGCCATTCTCACAGGGGTGAGTTAGTATCTCATTGTGATTTCTATTTGCATTTCACTTTTTTAAAGAATTATTTATTTATACATACAGGAACTGGGGTACAGGTCAGAGACTTGGTGGGGGGGGTGAGAGGATCCACCAGAGAGATTTGGGAGCACAACAGGCAGACCTACTGAAATACACTGCCAAGGGGAGCAGCAGGCAAGACAGGAAAGATCTTACTGTGCTATGTGGGCTGCTCCCTGGCCAGTGGCTGGCAGCAGCCCAAAATCACTGTCTTTAACCCCTGTGCCACCAGGGAGGTCCTATTTGCATTTCTTTTACAATAAGTTAATCAAGATTTTAGATGCCTTCTTATTACTGACCTTTACTAGAGAATAAACTTCCTAAATTGGAATAATTATGAATTCAAGCATAAAGTTAATGACATTTTAGCAAATGTATTTTTAAAAGCATGTTAAACTTAAATATTAATACATATAGACATAGATCACTGGTATTTGAATTTAAGATAAGGGAATAAGCATTCATATGTTGAGGCATATTTGATGTATTTTTACCAAGGAGCAATCCATAGTCATGAAAATGAATTTAATAACTGTCTAGAACATTCTTATAGCCTATCAAAGCAGGGTCTAGTTAGTGTGCTTTTCCTTGATGAAGAAAGCATCAAAGTCTGTCCAGATAAATCTGAATACTCTTCTGAGGACTAATCCCAGTAGTAATTGTGATTCAGGAGAACCAGAAAATCCAGACATCAATATGAATTTTTAAAAACTGACCACCCTTCCACCAAAAATTCCCAACATTTAATTATAATAGGTAATATTTTCCAATAGCTCATTTAGAGCAACTGTTTGGATTCACTTTCCCATGGAGGACTAATGCTTTAGCTTCTAGAATAGCCCACAGGAATGCATTTAACCCTTACTGTAGCTATATTATATTGCAATGAAACAGTAGGGGACAAACTAGTTCAATTTGGGTAATTAAATAAAAATTAAGCAAATAAGAAAATAAGACTGTTGACAAAAGATCAATATTACCAGGAAAAGGGGGGGCAGGAGGGAGATGGCATCTTCTGTGTAGGTTCTAAGGACAGCAGCCGGCTATCTCAAAAGTATTAGATTAATACTACTGGTTTTACACTCTTTCTTATTTACCTCTAAATGAATGGGACTTTTTCTTGATAGACAGAGGTACTCATCCTGCTATTCTACTTAGCAGCCATAATCACAGTAATTTGAAGATTCATAAATAGAAAAACTGAGGGAAGGGAGCACAGAGGGAGGTACATAATCCTAAAACAATTGAACAAAAAATGAAAAAAAAAAAAAAAAAAAAAAAAAAAGCAAGCAAGGTAGAGGGCCACACAAAGCTTGTTCGGAATGATCAGAAATGGGATGAACAAAGAAAGCAGTGACCTGGGAACGCCCTGGAGAGTTTCAGAGACAGAAGAATGGTTGAAAAAAAGTAAGTTCCCATGTTTGCCATCAGGGGGTACTGTGGGCCCAGGAACCTTGGTCTCCTCTGGGAATGGTCCTAGAAAGGGGGCGCAGGATTAGAGAAGAAGGAAATGAGAGGTTCGAGGCTCAGGTGTTTGCTCTGAGTGGAGGCCAGCGCTCTGCGTGTCATCCCCACTAATGCCCTCCTCCAGGACGATGGGACTGCCCGTGGCTGCCACTGGATGCAAAGCTGTAAAAGAGAAGCAGGTCACGGGAACAGGTGTGGCTGTCTGAGCACTGGGTCTGTGGCCCAGTGTGGCTCCCGGTGTTGTCCGAGTTGCCAGAGGCCTCACCTGCCATGTGCAAAGTCACTTCTAAACATTTTTTTCTAATCCGTAAAACAGTCACATAAAACTGATTTTATGACTAGGGAAACTGACATCAAAGGTGTTAAGAACAACACACCTAAGACCACACAATGGTAAGCAGTAGAGAGGCAGGGTTGGGAAGGAAGGAGGGCTTCCTCTTGCACATCTTTGCCCTGCCTTCCTTCCAGGGATGGGGAGAAGTCTGGTCCTAAAGGGGAGCAAAATCAGAGCCAGAGCTTATGAAACCTAACTCCCTCCCTTCCCACGCCATTCCATGCTGGCTCTCAAATCCCAGCTAAAAGAAGCCTCCAGAGAAGATCTGAAAGGGAAAAGCAGTTTTGAGAGAAAGGTTGTGGAAATCCTAGAAGCAGTCTTTGACAGTGAGGGAATGATTGGGAGTGAGGGGGTATGCCCCCCGAGGCTGCTGCTCCTCTCGGAACCCCCTCAGGCTCCCCAGTCAGTGTCTCCTGTCTTACTCTCTGTAGGGTTCCCCCATAAACAGGAAGAAAGTTTTTCTGTTTAACAAAGGTAGTGATGTTGAGTGCTGGATGCCCACAAACTGATGTTCGTAAAATAGAGTGATGTGGAAGGTATAATTTATGTTATATTACAAATATTCCTCTGCAAAGATAACCCTGACTTTGCCTGTCTTTCTCTGTGCCTGCTTTTACTATTACATCCAAATTTAAGACATTCTAAGTAAATCTGACGTTTTAATGACGTCGTTTCAACTTGTTCAAGCCCCTGGGGTGAACAATTTAATGTTCTCGCCAACAACCTCCTAAACTCTCAGCCTGGACGTGGAAGGAGACTCGCCTGTAATTTAGTCACTGAATGTGGTTGTGATCTTGAACCTCAGTTTATTTGAGGTCAACTGGTTTTTTTTTAAAAACTGCCTTTTTGTGTAAATTTTTTTCATTAAATCATCATTTATTTTATATTCTCCTTATCATACAACTTGGAAATTTTATTACTTCTCATCATAAATGCAAAAACAGAGGAAGCTGGGACTAATGCAGCACATCAAATGCATGAATGCTGTTAAAATCGGTGGGCCTTTCAAGTGTGGAGAAAGGAAATTTTAGGGAAGCATGTGGAAGTGGGGGAGGGGCAAAGTGCAAAGAGTAGATAATTTCCCTGCTCTGCACAAAATCAAACAGTTCCAAAGCACTTCTACCCCCTCCCTTCAGCTCTTCCCCTTACTTCACTAGAGTAAAATGCTCATCACAA